ACTCATTCTCTCTCTCTCTTCCTCTCTCAAAATAGATAAATAAACTTAAAAAAAGAAAAAGAGCACCTGGGAGAAATGAGAACTCTTACCCCTGATGTGTCCTGAGTTCTGAATCCCACAATTTTTTAGTTTTTATTTACATTTTCTGTATTCATTAGAAAAACTTTTTTATTATAGAACAATAAAAACATCTATTAATGAAATATTATTAGGTAAATATCATTGTAACTGCCACACAGGTCATGAAATCAAACTTACAAGCTTTTCTATACGCCCTACCCCAAACACAGCCCCTCTCCTCCAAACAAAAACTACTATCCTGACTGTCAGGGTAAAAACTCCCTTGCATTTTGTTATGGTTTGATTAACCAAGTGTGCATTTCTAGGCACTACAATTTAGTTTTGCCTGTGTTATAAAAATTTGCTAAGTGTCATAAGTCTCAGTCTTAGTTCAGGCTGCTAGAACAAAATATCACAGACTGGTGGCTTAAACAACAAACATTTATTTTTCACAGCTCTGGAGGCTGAGAGGTCTAAGGTTAAGGTGCCGGCAAATTCCGTGCCTGGTGAGAGCTCTCTTCCTGGTTTGTAGGTAGCTGCCTTCTTACTGAATGCTCACATGGCAGAAAGAGAGGTTAGGCTCTGGTTTCTTCTTGCAAGGGCACTAATCCCTTTATTGGTGCTCCACCCTCATGACTTTACCTAAAGCTAATTACTTCCCAAAGGCCTTGCCTCCAAATACCAAATACCTTGCCTCCAAATACCATTAATTTTGGAGGACACAAACATTCAGTCTGTAGGAGTCTCATAATTGTTTCCCCTCCCATACCTTTCTTTTCCTTTTTATTTATTTTTTTGTTCTTGTTTTTTAATATTTTATTTTTAAGTAATTTCTACATCCAACATGGAGCTTGAACTCAGAACCCTGAGGTCAAGGATTGTGTGTTCTACCAAATGAGCCAGCCAGGTTCCCCAGCCTTTCTTTCTTTCTTTTTTTTAACATTTATTCATTTTTGAGAGACAGAGCATGAGTGGGGGAGGGGCAGAGAGAGAGACACAATCCTAAGTAAGCTCTAGCCTCTGAGCTGTCAGCACAGAGCCTGATGTGGGGCTTGAACTCACAAACCGCAAGATCATGACGAGCCAGTCAGATACTCAACTGACTGAGCCACCCAGGTGTCCCCCCTTGCTTTTCCTTTAAATTCATCTCTTTAGGGGCACGTGGCTGGCTCAGTCGGTTGTGTCTGACTTGATTTTGGCTCCAGTCATGATCTTGAGGTTTGTGAGTTTGAGCCCTGAGTCAGGCTCAGCAGTGACAGTACAGAGCCTGCTTGGGATTCTCTTTCCTCTCTCTCTTCCCCTCTCTCCTGTGGGCACCTGTGTGTGCACACATGCACTGTCTCTTTCTCTCAAAATAAATAAATTAATTGAAAAAAATAAGTTCATCTCTTGAAAAATTGTGTTTTTGACTTGTAGACTCTCCCAACAGTCTGGATTTTGCTGATTATATATTCATGGTGCAGTTTAACATATTTCTCTGTTCTCTTTATTTTCTGCATATTGGCAGCTAGATCTCGAGATTTGATACTTTTGAGAAGACTATTGGTGGTATTATGTTCTTTTTATTTTTAATTTTTTTTAAGTTTATTTATTTTTGAGGGGGTTGCAGAGGGGCAGAGACAGAGAGGGAGAGAGAATCCCAAGCAGCTCTGCACTCAGTGCGGACCAAAGGTGGAGCTTGATTTCACAACTGTGAGATCATCACCTGAGTCAAAATCAAGAGTTGGACACTTAAGCCATGCACTGAGCCATGCAGGTGCCCCCAAAGGTAACCAGTTTTTTAAAAATATTATTATGTAGTCATGGATTTAAACATATATAACGTGTCAATTCATTGCAATTGTTATCTTCATTGAAGCTCAAATTGTACCATCATTGGTCAGCAGAGATCTCTTTAAGTTGGTACTGTAAAGGAGGAAAAGAAATAACTTTCCTTACCCATTTTGGGTTCTCTGGCTTGGGCCTGATAAAATACATTAAAAAGAGACAGATTAACAAGAGAAAAACATAAATTTATTAACATGTGCATCATGCATACACATAGGAGGACTCAGATCAGTAACTCAAATAGTTAAAACTTGGGCTTATATAGCATCTTAAAAAAAGAACAATAAATTTTTAGAGAAGTGACAAAACAAAGGAAAAGAACTTTGAGTTTCTGGAGGTGGCAAATTGTGAGAAGGCAAATATATGGGGAAACTAATGGTAGATAACAGACAGTTTTAGCAAAGTTTGTTATGTAGTTTCTTCTGCTGCTCTCTCTGTGCTAATAAAGGTCTACAGTTGTAGAGAAGGGAAGGGAAGACACTCTTAAAAACTTATATCCTGCTTACAGGCAAATAGGAGGGCAGAGAGTTTCTGGATCTGCTTTTCCTCAATTGTGTTCAGTTCAAGAAAGCTTATAGATCTTCTAGAAAAAGCAGCAATAGATTTGTAAAGAAATGACAAGGCAAAAGAGGTTTGGGCTAGAGGCAATAAATTGTAGGCAAGCAACTAGGAGACTTAGGGAGGGAAAATTAGTGGAAGATAAGGATTATTTTAGTAAGTTTGTTTGTACAGACCCATTTGGTGTCAATTACCAGTCTCAGGTGGTAAGTACCTTCTTTTATTCCTTGTAAAGTCGGGAGGGGGGCGGGGCACTTTTCTCATGGGAAATTTTATGCCTTGCTATATGTAGAAAAGGGAGGCATGGTCAGAGAGCCCTTCCTGCATCTTCTGTTTCAAAGGGTCTTTACCTCAAAATAATCAATATACCAACGTGGCATAGTTTAGGGTGGCATGTTCCAAATTCCTTCATGCCTAAGTGGTATATTCTGCTACTGTTTAGTACCTGAGTCCTTTTGACATGACCCTAGTAGTCTTTTTGAAAATAGATATTATTTTACCTTTTATTATTGAAACTTTTCTACTCAAAAGTAGAAAGAGTATAATGAACTCCCTTCACTCAACATCTAGTTTCATTAATTATCAATATATTGCCAATCTTGTTTCATCTGTACCTACACATATCCTATTCCTTGCTGATTAGTATAACTTTATTTTTAGAGCTTTTCCTTTTTTTTTTTTAAGTAGGCTCCACACTCACTGCAGACCCCAGTGTGGGGTTTGAACTTAACGACCCTGAGATCAAGACCCTGATGCTCAACTGACTGAGCCACCCAGGCACCGCTAAAGGTTTTCTGAGGTTTAACTTATATACCATAAAGTTCGTTCATTGTAGGTGAGCAATTCAATGACTTTATTCCATTTATAGAGTTATGCCACCATCACCACAATACAGTCTTGGAACATTTCTATCACCCAAAAATGTTGCCTTATGGTTGCTTGAGAAAGGTCATAAGAAAGGGTGTGTAGAGGAGGAAAAATAATTTTTCCTTTACCCTTCTAAGTTCTTGGGTAAGACCACTGTCATATAAGACTGATTAACAAGAAAACAACAACACATAATTTTATTAACAAGTGCACTTCACATATATATGGGATATACCCAGGGGTAAAAATGAGTAATTCCTCAAATGTGGGTAATTTTTCATCCATTGTGCTATGTCCTCAGGGAACCCTCTTGATCTTCTTGGGAATTTTAGAAACATTATTTATGTGGAAACGTTTTTTGCCCACCTCCACAGTTCCCTAGTTCTGGAAATCCTGTGCTTGAGTTTGAGTTCCCCCAGAAGCTAACATTCAAACCCTAGGGGAAAAAAATTCAAATTCAAATACATTTTTTAAAAATTTTATTTTTATGTAATCTCTTCACCCAACATGGGGCTTGAACTCACAACCCCGAGATCAAGAGTCACAGGCTCCACCAACTGAGCCAGTCAGGCATCCCTCAAATACGTTCTTAAAATATTGACTCATGGTATACACTTGCTATTAGAGATCTACCCCCCTTTAAAAACACTTTTTAGGAATATAATTTACACAAGGTGCACAAATCTTGTGTACAATTTTTTGCTTTTTAAAATTTATCTACCAGAGTAACACCACCAAGAGGAAGATAAGGAAACATTTCCATTACCATAGCATGTTCTCTCAGGTTCCTTGGTTGGCAACACTTCTCATAGCAACCGTTAGCTTGACTTTGTCATTATTTTGGCTTGTTCTTGAACATCACAAAAATGAACTTTCAGGTTCTCTTCTACTCCACCCTTTTAAATGACGTCGTAATATATAATATATATGCCCTACTTTACTTAAATATTCCCTAACTGAACACTTATTTCCAATATTTATATTAAGGATGCTGCAAGGTGGGGCGCTTGGGGTTAGCTCAGTCCTAAGCCTCCGGACTTGGGGTTAGCTCAGTCCTAGGCCTCCGACTTCCTGAATTCCACCCCTGCATCAGGCTCTGTGGTGACAGCTCAGAGCCTCGAGCCTGTGTCCCTGCTTGGGATTCTGTATCTCCCTCTGTCTCTCAAAAATAAATAAACATTAAAATAATTAAAAAAAAAAAAGAATGCTGCCGGGGTGCTGGTCATCCAGGACTTTCAATAGGAGGGAGGCACGGTGGGCTGAGGATCACATGCCGCTACGGGCTCCCTCAGTTCCGGGCTTAGTAGAATCTCCTGTCTCGCTGTCCCGCCACACCTTGTCTCCGGGACCTATCATCACTGCAATGGTCGGACCCGAATCACGATATCGATGCCCGCTTCAAACGTCCTCCCGGAACTGGGGCGGTAGTGACTCCCGCTGTTTCCGCTGCTGAGGGGGCGGGGCTGGGGCCGCCCTGCCGTGGCGGTCGTGGTCGAGGGCTGATGACGTAGGGCGCCGCGTGCTCCCCCACGTGTGCTGCAGTTCTCCCGGTGTCTGCGGGGCAGCCGTGGCTGGTTTCCCCGGGGGCGTAGTTGCTGGCACCTCCAGCGCGGGACCTCGGTGGCTCGGGGGCTCCGAGCGCTAAGTAGGGAGCGCTGATGACCGCCGGGGGCGGAGGGTCTGCGGTCATGGAGCACCTTTTCCTAGAGGTGGCGGCCGCGCCGCTGCGCTTACTCGCTGCCAAGAACGAGAAGAGCCGCAGCGAACTGGGCAGGTTCTTGGCCAAGCAGGTAAAAGAAGGAGGGAGAGGGAAAACGCCGGGCCGCCCCCGGCCGCCCCCCTCGCGCGTGCCCTGCGACCCTGAGTGAGACGCGCAACTTTAAGGGAGGGGAGAAGCGGCGTTCTGTCACCCTGGCCCCCTCCGCAGGGCTGGTCCGGGGCGGAGACGTCCGCGCGTGTTTGAGGAAATTGGAAGAAGCCTTTTGTGTGTATCTGAGAGACCCTTCCATTCTCCTCCAACCTACCTCTGTCTCCTCTCTGTAGCAGACGTGGCCTTCCGAAAGAAATGTGGTTTGTTTTTCTGTAATTGAAGTTGTATCTCTGCCCGCTTGACGTGTATTAACTTAAGTGTGCCAAGTCTAGCCACCCCTGTTAGTCTGGGTGACTGTTTTTCTTTTCTGCTCCATCCTTTAGTTGTGGCCGGCTGACACGTATTGATTGCGTTCCTGCTTTGCGTGAGGCACAGTATGGTTCTGTGAGGAGACAGAGAAATTCGTTACGGTCTCTGCCCCCAGGGAACTTAGCGTCTATTTTTGGAGACCGTTCATAAACACAGAAAACAACTGAAGGACAAAGCAAGACAGCTAATGCTGCGTGACATTAACCGTAGAGACTATGATGTGGATTAGAATTTTCTAAGAAATGGGGTTTTGGCCTTTTAAGAGCCTTCTCTCAACTCCTTGCTAAGTTGAGAACCTTTATCATGCATTTTCTTTTCACGTTGCATTTTAATTTCCCATTTTATGCTTCCCCACTCCCAATATCTCTGAACTTCTAGAGAGTAGAAAATGTGTTTAGTTTATTTTTTTCCTTCTAACTCCCGTATCTAGAACTTATTTATTCAGTCACGAATGCATTGTGTACACATATATCCTTTTGCCCAGGAAGCGACGGGAGTATTTTGGGTCTGGAGCTGCAGAGAACTAACATGAGAGGCATTTCTGTTTGGTGAAAACAAATTGAGCATGTAAAGGGCAGGGGGAGGGGGAGAAGAGGGGTGGGAGAGAAGGTCAGAGATACCCTGGGGCCTCTGAGCCCCAGTGAAGGGAATCACTAAACATGGTGAGCTGGTGAAAGAGAAGTGAGTTTTGGTGGGCTGGACTAAGTAAGGAAAGAGATCATCACTTTGTATGAGCTGAGCTTTTGGTGACAGTCCTGAGTTATGGATTGTTGATAGATGTATTTTTCTGTAAGTGGGTGTTAGAATTTAGAGCAGAGGTTCTGAAACTAGGGATCATAGACCAGCAACAGGGGTTTTGTGTTTCCTTACCACTGTAATTGGGTGTAACATAGATGTTTATGTACTGGGGGTAGGGAGGGGAAATGGTTTATAGCCTTTATTAGATACAGTTTTAGAGAATCTGACAGGTGTGAGAATCACTCATGTGAATTCTGAGATTGTATAGAAGTAGTATTAGACTTGAAAGCTACTAGAAAGTTCATTTGAATTAAGGAGATTGGGACACCTTTGCTTCTCCCTTTTTTGTGTGTCACATTGTCAGATTCTCTCCTGAGATGTCTTTCGGTTTGTTCCTTACCATTTTCATGATTAATTTCAAACCTTTCACTCAGAAGACTTGATTGTGTTGCCATTCTGTATTTATCCTATTTTTGGGAAACAAAGCAATTTTTATGGGAAAGCAAAGCCTTTTGAAACATGATTCTCATTGCAGTTGGGATCTGAAGTAAGAATTCTTTAGGATTGTGGGTTTTTTGTTTTGTTTTGTTCTTTATCTCAGCTGGTGACAGCAACTTCTGCCTATCCACTTTAGAGAACTGAGTGTCCTCACTCTTCTCACTTCTTTTCCTTCACATATGGCCAAGTCTTCCGTGTTTTATTTACTCAGTATTGAATCTATTACTTCCTTTTCATCCCTATTGTCACAACCATCCTACAGTTCTGACTCCATTCCAGTGTGGGTTTTCCAACACCTCCAAGCAATTCTCAGAGACAAACTGGGTGTCTTATAATTTAACTCAATTCTGACACTGTCTACTTGGAGATAACATGAGATCCCACGTGTTAAGGGCTGAGTCTTTCAAAACTGCCCTCCCCACCTCTGAATGCCATTTGAAAGTCCAGGTTGTCACCTGTACTTCTGACCAACTGGCTGTGGATTGGAGGTTCTCTACAACCCCCTCCTTGGGTTTGATTAATTTGCTAGAGTGGCTCACAGAACTCAAACATTTTACTTACTAAATTACTGGTTTGTTATGAAAGGATAGAATTCTGGAACTGCCAGATGGAAGAGATGCATAGGGACAAGGTATGTGAGGAGTGCAGAGCTTCCATGCCCTCTCCAGAGGTGACACTTTCTCCACATATCCATATTTTTACCAACCTGGAAGCTCTCCTGACCAAGTCCCTTTGGGTTTTTATGGAGGCTTCATTACATAGGGTATAATTGATGAAAACTTTAGCCATTGGTGTTGGAATTCATTGACCAACCCTTGGCCCTTGAGGTGGAGGTGGGGGTGGGACTGAAAGTTCCAACACTCATCACTTGGTTGGTTCTCTTGGCAGCCAGTTCCATCCTTGGGTGCTTTGCAAAATTCACCTCCTTGGGGCGCCTGGCTGGCTCAGTAGGTAGAGCATGCAACTGTTGATCTCAATCTAGTGAATTCAAGCACCATGTTGGGCCTAGAGCTTACTTAAAACAACAACAACAACCCCCCCACCCCCCCCTCACAAAATTCGTCTCCTTAACATAACAAAAGACACCTTTATCACTCTGCTCACAGGAAATTGCAAAGATTTTAGGAGCTCTGTGCCTGGAATGGAGTTGAGGACCAAACAAAAATGTGTTGTTACAAATCATATCACATATCCTTACCTCCTTGATTACTGTCTGTGTTCAAGAAAAGCGGAATGCTTAAGAGCATGCATGGATATTGGAATGAAGTATGGCTAAAGATCAAATTCTCTTTTACATAATTGCTTTTGGGGTTTGAACAAGTTACTTAACTCTTCTGAGTCACAATTTCTTGCTATATTACATATGGTAGCTACTACATAGTTGGAGGGTCTCTGGAACCAGACTGTGACGTGGATTCTTGGTTCTCCTAGCTTTGTGACCTTGACCCCTTTTTAATTTTTCAGTTTCCTTATCTGTAAAATAGGGATATATTGCCTGCTTTATGGGTTGCTGTGAGGACTAGATGCCTACACTATAGTAAGCACTCTTTGTAGAAGTGGTTCTTAATTATTATTGCTATTAATAAGGTTGTTGTAAGATCCAGATAATGCATGTGAGGAGCTTACCAAAATGCCTAGCACAGAGCAGGTAATCAGGGGCATCTGACTTCAGCTCAGGTCGTGATCTCGCGGTTCATGGGTTTGAACCCTGTGTCTGGCTCTGTGCTGACAGCTGGGAGCCTGGAGCCTGCTTCAGATTCTGTGTCTCCCTCTCTCTCTGCCTCTCCTCCATGCACGGTATTTCTGTGTGTGTGTCTCAATAAATAAACATTTAAAAAAATTAAAGAAAAACAGTAATCAGTACATATGAGCTATAATAATACTTTTTATGTTTATTTTTGAGAGAGTGAGTATGTGCGCTCGCAAGTGGGGGAAGGGCAGAGAGGGGGGAGAGAGGATCTAAAGTGGGCTCCATGCTGACAGCAGAGAACCTGATATGGGGCTCAAACTCACAAACCTTGAGATCATGACCTGAGTTGAAGTTGGACACTCAACTTACTGAGTCATCCATGCACCCCAATATAATAATTTTTAAAAACCGCTTTATTAAGATATAATTCAGGTACCATATACTTCTTCCATTTAAACTTATAGTTCAGTGGTTTTTGCTGTTTTCACAGATGTGTGTAACTGTTACCACAGTTTTAGACTGTGATGTTTAGACATTTTCATTCTTTTGTAATTTTTAAAATTATTTTTTAATTTTGTTTTAAGTTCATTTATTTTGAGAGAGAGAGTACAAGGAGGGGAGGGGCAGAGAGAGAGGGAGGGAGAGAGAATCCCAAGCAGGCTCCACACTGCCAGTGCAGAGCCCAATGTGGGGCTCGAACTCATGAACCATAAGATCATGACCTGAGTTGAGATCAAGAGTTGGACGCTTAGGCTTAGCTGACAGAGCCACCCAGGAGCCCCTCTTTTTTTATTTAAAAAAGTCCCCCAACATGGGACTTGAACTCATGACCCCAGGTCATGAGTTGCATGCTCTTTCAATTGGGCCAGCCAGGTGCCCTGACATTTTCATTATTTCAAAAAGAAGCCCCCATACCTTTTAGATGGTAGCACCCCCCATTCCCACCCCAGTCACTGTGCTCTCCCACAGCTCCTCAGGCAACTACTAACTTAACTTTTTTCCTCTGTGGGTTCCCTATTCTGGTCATGAATAAGACATCTGAATCTATCACTGTTCTGCATAAAAGCTCCCTATTATCTCTATAATAAAAATTTCTAAGTGGTATATGAGGTGTTTTATATTTTTTGAAAATTTGTCACTTAAAAATGAAAGAAAAAATTTTTTCTCTCAACTTTTTTTCCAGTTTTTGTTTGAAATACTTTTAAATCCAGTGCAGTGGTTCTCAACTGGGGCAATTTTTCCCCCAAGGGTAAATCTGGAGACATTTTTGGTTATCACAACTGTTGGTGGGGTTGCTTCTGGCATATAGTGTTTAGAGGGCAGAGATGCTGCTAAATATGTTACAATGCATGGGACAGCTTCCACAAAGAATTCTCCAGCTCCAAATATCAGTAGTGCAAAATTAAGAAAGAAACTCTAAATATATATGTGCCTAATAACAGAGTATCAAAATATGTGAATCAAAAAGTGACAGAAAAGGAAAAATAGACAAATTCACAATTATAATTGGAGACTTTGACACTCTATCCTGATTAATTGATAGAACAAATACAGAAAATCTCTAAGCATGTAGAAGACCTGCTATCAACAAACTTGACCTAACTGACATTTCTAGATTGCTGTGCCCAGTAACTGTAGGATACATATTCTGCACATCTGGAACATTCCCCAAGATAGACCATATTCTGATTGATTAAACAAGTTTCAATAAATTTAGGAGAATTAAAATCATGCATGGTATATTCAATGATCCCAATGGAATTAAATTAAGGAAGAAAAAAAAACAACCAAAAGATAGTGGGAAAAATCCCTAAATGTTAAAGATTAAAAAAAAAAGAAGATGGTTAAAGAATAATCACTGAGTCAGAAAATCATTTGAACTGAATCATGATTTAAACAAATTGAGGGAGGGGGCGCCTGGGTGCCCAACTTCGTCTCAGGTCATGATCTCATGGTCTGTGGATTCAAGCCCCACGTTAGGCTCTGTGCTGACAGCTCGGAGCCTGGAGCTTGCTTCAGACTGTGTCCCTCTCTCTCTGCCACTCCTCTGCTTGCATTCTGTCTCTCTTTCTCAAAAATAAACAAACATTTTAAAAAATTTAAAAAAAGGTAAGTTACTAGTAATGAACAATTTATGAAATCAGTGTTTGAAGAATATAAATTACCAAAGCCCACTCAAGAAAAACAAGCTAGGAATAAAACAGAAACAAGTTAGCAATAGAATAAAATGTCCTCAAGCTGATACAGAGCATCTACAAAAACTTAATAGCTAGCATCACAGTTAATATGTGAACAACCCAGTTTCAAAATGGATAAAAGATGGGGCACCTGTGTGGCTCAGTCAGTTCACCGTCTGACTTCAGCTCATGTCATGATCTCTCGGTCTGTGAGTTTGAGCCCCATGTCGGGCTCTATGCCGATAGCTCAGAGTCTAGAGCCTGCTTCAGATCCTATTTCTCCCTTTTTCTCTGCCCCTCCCCTGCTCATGCTCTGTCTCTCTCTGTCTTCCAAAAATGAATAAATGCTAAAAAAAAAAAAAAAAAAATTAAATGGATAAAAGATTGAACAAATGTACAACAGATGATAAATAAATGGCCATTAAACACTTGAAAAAATTCTCAACATCTTTGGCATCAGAGAAATTCATATAAAAGCACCAGAATCCATTCCCCCTTCTCTAAAATGACTAAAATTTCAACTGACCATACTATGTGGTGGTGAAGTTATGTGGCAACCAGAGGTCTCAGACATTGCTGGTAGGTGTAAACTGGTACAGCTGCTTGTTTTAAAGTTAAACACTGAGGGGTACCCGGCTGACTCAGTTGATGGAGCATGTGACTCTTGATCTCGGGGCTATGAGTTCAAGTCCCACATTGGGTGTAGAGCTTACTTCAAAAAAGAAAAAAAGGCTAAGTATCTTGTTTTCTTTTTTTTTAAGCAGGCTCCACACTCAGCGTGGTGTCCAGTGTGGGGCTGGAACTCAGGACCCTGAGATGAAGACCTGAGCCAAGATCAAGAGTATCAAGAGTCGAATGCTTAACTCCTTGAGCCACCCAGGCACCCCTTCCTCATTTCCCTCAGGGGTGGAGAGAATCTTAAGTAGGCTCCACACCCAGCACAGAGCCTGACCTCGGGGCTTGATCTGCATCTCATGACCTTGAGACAACCTGAGCTGAAATCAAGGGTCGGGTGTTTAATTGACTGAACCACCCCACCCGCCCCTTTTCCTATTTTTAGTATCTGATTCATCTAACCCTGTTTTCCAGATTATCTTTTCAAGAGAAGGTTCATGAAGTGATATTCTCTCTGGAGATTTTTTTCCCAACTCACAAGTTTCTATATAACATGTCTAGGACAGTTGCACTTTTTTTCATTCATTTTGTAAGTGATGTGTTTCTTTTTCTTCACAATATAACCACTTACTATCTACTTTTTTGAATGATCTCTTTAGAGGGCTTCATAGCATGCCCCTGTGAATCATGACCAAATCTGTTAAAATTTCCTTGCAGGACTAATATTGATAGAAATTGTTCCAAAATAACATCTTTCCCCACTCAGTGCTTTGTTCAGAATTAGGAATTTTTGGGGGCTCCTGGGTGGCTCAGTCGGTTGAGCGTCTGACTTCGGCTCAGGTCATGATCTCATGGTTCGTGGGTTTGAGCCCCGCATCGGGCTCTGCGCTGACAGCTCAGAGCCTGAAGCCTGTTTCAGATTCTGTGTCTCTCTCTCTTTGCCCCTCCCCCACTCGTGCTCTGTCTCTGTCTCAAAAATAAATAAACATTAAAAAAATTTTTTTTCAAAAAAAGAATTAGGAATTTTTGGAGCACTTGCGTGGCTCATTTGGTTAAGCATCCAACACTTGATTTCGGCTCAGGTCATGATTTCATGGTTGTGAGATGGAGCCTCACATGGGGCATGGAGCCTGCTTAAGATTCTCCCTTTACCTCTGTCCCTTGAGTGTGTGCTCACACATGTGTGCGTGAGCTCTCTCTCTCTTTCTCAAAAACAAACAAACAAACAAAAAAAAACCTAGGTGTTTTTATGAGTGAATGCCCTATAATTTGAAAGACTTCATAAGAGCTCAGGTGTAAGGTGACCTTTTTTGAGAGAGAACTTTGGAAAAAATTGTTATATTTTTGCATGGGGTATTTAGGTTGTGCTCAAGCTGCAGTCTTAATAGGTAAATGTTTTGTGTGAAACGCCTTAGCATAAACTCATAGCATTGGACTTGGTGAGTATTTTAAACCTGCTGTCTTATTGTCGGCAGCAGGGGTTGTGTAGACCCGCGTGCACACTAGCAATATGAGACGGTAGCATTTTACATGGAATTCAGGTATCAGTCCTTTTCCTCAAACCTCAGTGGACTGAAACTTCTTTATAACAGCCTTTCACGTTAAATTAACTGCACTCTTCTATTGCAAAGCCCTTTTCTATGTTTTATAAGATAAACTCATTTATGATATGTGGAAATTGGATGTTTTGATTCTAAGCTAGGACTTTTTCCCTTTTGCAGCAGTGCTAACAAGCAGCATTTACATAGATATATTGTTTTGCCTTTCTCTCAGGTGTGGACACCTCAAGATCGCCAGTGTATCCTGAGCACCTTAGCACAATTACTTCTGGATAAAGACTGTACTGTGCTGGTTGGTCGCCAGCTGCGCCCTCTTCTTTTGGATTTGTTGGAAAGGAATGCTGAAGCCATTAAAGCCGGAGGCCAAATCAACCACGATCTACACGAACGGCTCTGTGTGTCAATGAGCAAACTCATTTGTTACCATCCTGACGTCCTCCCGTGAGTAACAGTTTTATTCTTCACTTTTCTCCTTGAGGTAGTAGAACCTGCTGTCTCCTGGAAAGTAAAAGGGTGTGAGCTGAGAAGGGAAGAGGAGAAATACAAGAAAGAAGGAAGATAAGTGGTACTGTTGATTAACAATTTAGTGACCATTTACTAGGTTTCTTTGAAGTCTTGGCCATCAGGATGGGTCTGGAAAACTGGCCATGATGTGTTCTTTGGCTTCAAGAATTATATCATCTGGTGAGATGAGGCAGATTTAAAAAGAGTTTCATCTGAGGCTCTTATAGCATCCATTTCAGATGGCTGCTTGCTGGAGTAGCTGAAGGGTGACATTAGAAGAGCTGTGGTGTCCTTTCTAACTTTCTATAATCTGTCCAAAGCAGTTTTGTGAGAAGTTGTATTAGAACTGGATTCTAATGTATTTCTCTTTAAAAAAAAAAAAAATTTTTTTTAATCTTTATTTATTTTTGAGAGAGAGGGAGAGACAGAGCTCAAGCAGGGGAGGGGCAGAGAAGGAGGGAGACAGAATCCGAAGCACGCTCCAGGCTCCGAGCCGTTAGCACAGAGCCTGACTCGCGAACTGCAAGATCATGACCTGAGCTGAAGTCGGACACTTAACCCACTGAACCACCCAGGCACCCCTAATGTATTTCTCTTCTGATCTGCTCTGTGTCCAGCCTGTGCTGGTTCACCCTTCCTTAGGCAGCCTGGTGGTCCCCTACTTCTGAGAGGTCACCATATTGATGCCAAACTTATTGTGCACCAGATCAGCATAGTGCATTGCAGTCAAGAACTATAGCCCAGCAATCCTCCTCCTGCCTCATCCACCTGAACAGCGGGGGCTACAGGCACGTACCACTGTATCTGCCTTTGTCTTTTATATTAATAGCAAAATACTGTTGGTATGGAGTAAAGGGCCAGCAAAATGAGTATTAGGGTTTTTTTAATTGAGAAGGTGAAGAACTTTCACTCTAAACTTGAGTAGTATCTTTGCAACTAATAAGAGTATCCCTTATATCCATTCCTTATTTATTAGTTTTCATTTGGCTTTCTTAGAAGTATGATCTCTAATCTGGTTCATGAATGAAGGGAATAAGAACTGAACTCTTGGCAGAAAACCATAATTTGTATGAGATTTTCTTTTTTTTTTAACGTTTATTTATTTTTGAGACAGAGTGAGAGAGAGAGAGAGAGAGCGCGTGAGCGAGAGAGCGAGCATGAGCGGGGGAGGGGCAGAGAGAGAGGGAGACACAGAGTGTGAAGCAGGCTCCAGGCTCTAGGCTCTGAAATGTTAGCACAGAGCCCAATGCAGGACTCAAACTCACAAGTCGTGAGATCATGACCTGAGCCGAAGTCGGACGCTTAACCCACAGAGCCACCCAGGTACCCCTGTATGAGCTTTTCTAAAAGGGGAGGGGGAAAAATGGGCCCAGTTTAATGGAACTAGAAGATATACAGCAAATATCATCATTATACGTGGTAATTAGGAACATAAGCTGTGGGTTGATTGAAGGTTGAGATTGTGGCCTCACTTAGTACTCATTGATGTACTTGACTGTGGTACCATTTCATAACGTGTACTGACTGCCCTGTACTTACTATATAGAATTGACGTGTGGGTAACTTGAACCCCCGTTTCTCCTAGGCCTTTGTGGTACAGTGCTTCTGGATTGTGTTTGAGAATCATTAAAATGATGGATTAGTTACATCTGGTTTCCCATCCGCTTTGCACTTTATGTTCTTATTAAATGCATGTGAACACAGAGCACACCCCTACTTTTTCTTCTTTTCATTTTGCCAAGGCAGTATATTTTATTTACACTCCCACCTTATTTCAAAAATTATATAATGCAGTTTATGAAGTTTCTTGTGCTAGAGTAACTTAAAAACAAACCATAAAAAAAAGGAGCTATGTGTAAATGAATCAATACATGATGTGAAATGAATTATAGACAATGATGTAGAATGAGATTTTGATTTTCAGTTTTAAGAATTGTAGCTCATTAGTTCAGCATGTGCCCTAAATTTCCTCTGTAGAGGAAATATACCTAATGTGTTAGGGATATACCAAATATATTTAGATAGGATACAGTCATTCATTCAGTAGATAAATATAGAAGACCTCTCTTGGGGCCACATCATGGGGGTAAGAAAGTCAAGTATAATGGGTTCTTGTATTTTGCAAACAATTGAATATAATGCTAATAGAGATGTTAGCCAAATACTTAAGGGGAGCAAGAAAATCATTAAAGAAGAATGAATGTTATCCTCTTGAAAATCAGAGAAAGTTTTGTATTGTGGCAGATTGTGGAGGAAGAGGGAAGAGAAAAAGAATGCAGAGAAGAGAAATAGGATGGCAATGAAGATCTAGGAAAAAAGAGAGAGAGACAGACTGGAAAGGAGGATCCCAGTCAAGCTCCCTAGAATCCTAGTGCTTGCCTTTCATTTACTGGTACATATCTCTTTCTGAGCCCAAGGTGTTTGGGGCTTCCATGAGGTTCTTTAGTAGTCTTAAACATTTCTTTTTTTTTTTTTTTTTTTTTTTTTTTTTTTTTTTTAATTTTTTTAATGTTTATTTTTTTTGACAGAGAGAGAGAGAGAGAGAGAGAAAATGAATGAGTGGGGGAGGGGCAGAGAGAGAGGGAGGCATAGAATCCAAAGCAGGTTCCAGGCTCTGAGTGTCAACACAGAGCCTGATTGCGGGGCTAGAACCCATGAACCGTGAGATCATGACCTGAGCCGAAGTTGGACGCTTAACCAACTGAGCCACCCAGGCGCCCCTTAAACATTTCTTTTTTTTAATCTTGCTTATATTATTTGTTCATTACTGTGTTCCCCCTTCCCCTGCCCAGCTTTATTGAGATTCAATTGAGATATATTTTTATTGACATATAATATTGTATAAATTGAAAGTAGAAAACATAGTGATTTGATACATGTACATATTGTGAAATATTTGCCACAGTAAGGTCAGTTAACACATCTTTCACTTCACATAATTACCATTTTGTTGTTGTTTGTTCATTGTTTTTGATTCTAGAATCCTTGAACACATTTTACTTTTTGGCAAGTTTTTTGTCAGGACTTTGTGAGTGCAATCCTGGTGTATTGATTCTTTCTCTATCCTAACATATTAGGTTTCCAAGTTCTTTTTTTTGTTTTGTTTTTCCCCCAAAGATTTTACTTTTTGGGGCACCTGGGTGGCTCGGTCAGTTAAGCATCTGACTTTTGGTTTCAGCTCAGGTCGTGATCTCATAGTTTGTGAGTTCAGGCCCCACATCGGGCTCCACACTAACAGCTCAAAATCTGGAGTCATGTGGGGGCGCCTGGGTGGCTCAGTCGGTTGAGCGTCCGACTTCGGCTCAGGTCATGATCTCACGGTCCGTGAGTTCGAGCCCCACGTTGGGCTCTGTGCTGACAGCTCAGAGCCTGGAGCCTGTTTCGGATTCTGTGTCTCCCTCTCTCTCTGACCCTCCCCCATTCATGCTCTGTCTCTCTCTGTCTCAAAAATAAATGTTAAAAAAAAATTAATAAAAAAAAAATCTAGAGTCATGTGTTCTTCCAACTGAGCCATTTAAGCACCCTTCAATCTTTATACTGTAACATCTTAAGGCACTGTTAGTCTTATTTCATATCTTTAGAGAAGTAAACTAAGTAGCTCTGTCAGAGCCAGGACTGAACTGCAGGTCTTACTTCTGGATGCTGGAAAGACTGATGAGTTGTCCGAGTGGCTCATCCAAGATTAGATGTTTAACTGGGTGATATTCCTTGCTGTATTTTAGGCCTTATGACTATCTTACTCCAGGAAAGAGAACTTCTCCTCAATCTTTGGATATTCTCTAAGGCAAAAACTGATCATGTTATTCTCTGGCTAAAAATGCTTTATTGTTGTTTAGATCAGAATTTTAGAGCACTCCCTGAAAGTGATGGGTCTTTGGAGAAAAGGGTGCTGTAGTTAAGTAAGTTTGGGAGAGAATATTGACCAGTTCCCCTTTGTATTTTTATGGTGGACCACAATTCTCTTCCTTGCACTGGCCGCACAGATGTAGGCCATTGCCAGTGCACTCAGCTTATTTCCCCCGGTCTTCCTCAAGGAAGGAAGGTCAACCCTGAGTCAGGTTGACCACTTCTCTGTTTGTTACTGCCGGCTGGTTTCACATGTGCTGCCAACATCATCTGCCTCTGAGCTAGTGGAATACCAGCCTCTCTCCCCCAAAGAATGATTGTACTTATTCTGACAGCATCCTTGTGGAGAAAAAAAAAAAAAAGTCCTGTTTTTGTTTTTAATTTCAAAGGTGATACATTTAAATAACAATAGAGAATTGCAAAAAGTGGAAGTCCTGGAATTTCACCCTGAAATCCTACTTTTTAGAGATAATTGTTATTGACAGTGTGATATGTTACCTCTTAAATCTCTTTTCTTTTTCTCACTCTGCCAGGTTTCTTTCTTTTTCTTTTTAAGTTTATTTTGAGAGAGGTAGTGTATATGCATGTGAGTAGAGGAGGGGCAGAGAGAGGGAGAGAGAGAATCCTAAGCAGACTCTGCACTGTCCACACAGAGCCCGATGCACAAGGCTCAATCTCACAAACCCACAAACTGTGAGATCATGACCTGAGCTGAAATCAAAAGTTGGTCGCTCAACAGACTGACTCACCCAGGCGCCCCAGCCAGGTCTCTTCTGAGCCACAGCTGAATCTTCTAAGTCCCATTTGTCCAGTCTTCTTCAGAATATTGTGAGTGTTAACTTACCAAGACTCTATTTCTGTTTGCCCGGATTGCTTGTGGAAGTCTAAGCCTTCCCACCCATCTCCTGAGTTCTCATTCTCTCTCCCTCTCATAACAGTTTTATGTTTGGGGATTTATTGAGCCAGCGATGTAGGGTATGTTTCCCTGGTGCTTCAGTGCAAATCGCTCTGGAAAGCAGATTCGAATGGCCCCTGCAGCTGCTCTGTCGCATTCCCAGTGGGCTCCTGAAGATTCTGTTACTGACCACTAGTTCACTAAGTTATTGTAAAAGGTTGCAACTCTGGAACAGGCTGATGGAAGAGATTGCTTCCTAATACTAGATTTCACAGTGATTTTTTTTTTGGAACCAAAAGCACAAGCAACTAAAACAAAAATAGACGAATGGGACATCAAACTAAAAAGCTTCAGCACAGCCAAGGAAACAAGAATGAAGAGACAATGTACAGATTGGGAGAAAATATTTCCAAGTCACCTATCCATTAGGGGATTAATATCCAGAATGTATAAAGAACTTCCTTCCATCTTTTTGTCCATCTTTTCCACTTTTACTGCCTTCCTTTTGTGTTCCACAGAAATCTGTTCTCATCTTCAGATGCAACCAAAGCATCTCTTCTTGACTCCCCCCTCCCCCCCCCCCCAGCCCTGTTGGTTTAGCTGAATCTTTTTTCTTTGTGCCTCTTGTTTCTGTAAGTGACTGTCTTCCTTGGTAGATAGCAAGCTCCTCAAGGAAAGTATCTCCTTGGTTTTGTACTCCTGGAACTTAACAGCATCTGGCTTCTAGTGAGAGGTCAATAAATGTTTATTGAAAACTAGTGCATTTTCAGTGGAAAACACTTGCAATAAGTACCTGTGGTTTTGTATTCTCTTAGACATCTCATGCCATTGTCCTGGTTCCTGAATTTGAACAGGATACAGTCTTAGGATTGGGTAGCTTCACTATTTGTCTCTTTATTCCCAGACCCTTGGAAATTCCTGTTGTATTCTGCTGGCCTGTCTCAAAGTAGAAAAGCATACTTTGAAATCCTCACCAACAAATGAAAAAAAATTTCTTTTTCTGAAGGTTTGCCCTGAGGTATTTCAAGGACACTTCTCCAGTCTTCCAAAGACTCTTCCTAGAGAGTTCAGATGCTAATCCAGTCCGCTATGGGCGCAGGCGGATGAAGCTCCGGGACCTAATGGAAGCAGCTTACAAGTTTCTGCAGAATGAGCAGTCTGTGTTCCGGGAGCTCTGGGACTGGAGTGTGTGTGTCCCTCTCCTCAGAAGCCATGACACCTTGGTCCGCTGGTGTGTAGCTCCTGGAATTTTCTGGTGCTTCAAGTGTGGGGGTGGTATAAGGAGTGTAGAGTTCTGTGATGAGGCAGGAAAGGAAGCTATGTAAAATGTGTTGTTTTTGTTCTGGTGCCTTTTGGGTTCCTCGTTCCTTTCCTTAATCATGCATCTCCTCAGTGGCAAATGAGATGATACTTAATGGAGTTCTACCTTTTTCAAGTTCTATCAGGTGAATTCATCATACTTGATTTGTATTTTCTACTCTCAAATGTATTGAAATGTATTAATTCTATAAGATTTCCTCTTTTTCTTTTTAAAGTTTTTCTTTTTTTAAGTTTTTAGTAATCTCTACACCCAACATGGGGCTCGAACTTAGAACCCTGAAATCAAGAGTTACATGCTCTACCCACTAAGCCAGCCAGGCACTCCTAAGATTCCCTTTTCTAATGTTTAGTTGGCGAGAAAAATTTCTTTTTTCTTGAGAATCAATTGCTTTTCCTAAGTTTATGTATACTTTGGTTTTCTCCAGGTACACAGCCAATTGTCTTGCTTTGGTCACCTGTATGAATGAAGAGCACAAGTTATCATTCCTTAAGAAGATTTTTAATACTGAGGAACTGATCCATTTCAGGTTAAGGTAGGAAGGAGGATTCCTGGAGATCTTGATGTAGCCTTACAGTGCATTAAAGTAACTAATGAGATACTCATTTTCCTCAGGTTATTAGAAGAGGCCCAGCTGCAGGATTTGGAGAAGGCCTTGGTTTTGGCTAATCCAGAAGCCTCCCTTTGGCGTAAGGAGAAAGAGCTGCAGTACTTACAGGGCCATCTTGTTTCAGCTGATCTCTCTGCCGGGGTGACTGCTGTCTGTGGCGTGGTGCTGCCTGGGCAGCCACCAGCCCCTGGAGAGCAGGTATATTGGTATTAGTGGGATGTGTGTCCTCTTCTCCCCTCTTAAACATTGAGTGTGCTTTTTTCTCCTTGGCTGGACTGTTATAGGTGTGAGCCGAGTTGAGTTTTCCAAATTGCTGTTCCATGTACAGAACTATTCAGAATAGATTAAGGAAAATTTACCCAGGGTCCTCTTCTCTGATAGTTTCTTTGTCTCTGTTTGATGTTAAATTAGAAAGTCTGGGGGCGCCTGGGTGGCGCAGTCGGTTAAGCGTCCGACTTCAGCCAGGTCACGCTCTCGCGGTCCGTGAGTTCCAGCCCCACGTCAGGCTCTGGGCTGATGGCTCAGAGCCTGGAGCCTGTTTCCGATTCTGTGTCTCCCTCTCTCTCTGCCTCTCCCCCGTTCACGCTCTGTCTCTCTCTGTCCCAAAAATAAATAAACGTTGAAAAAAAAAAATTAAAAAAAAAAATTAGAAAGTCTAATGATGTCGATGTGATGCTTTTAACGTTAGCAAAGCACTTCCATATACTCTCTTATTTACTTGCTACAGTAACTCTGTGAAGTTGGGTAGCACATGTTGTGATACCATATTTATGTAAAACAAAGGTAGAATGACTGGCCCGGAGACCCATGGGCTGCCTTTTGTAGAGACGGTGCCAGGCCCAGGTATAACTCCCAGCAACCTCTTTTTTTCAGAATATTCTTTTTGGTTGTTAGGTAGGAGACTAGTAACTGTAGTGAGCTTTCCCCCTATCATATGAAATGAGCTTCTTTCCAAAAATATGGCTCCAGACCCACACTTTGGAAAAGCTTATAGATCAAAATCTAGCTCTGTAATCTGAAGCTATTCGCAGCCAGTTTTTAGTTAGTTGTCACTTTGTGTGATGGTCAGGTTCACCCAGTTTTCTTTCTGGAAGAAGACCTGGGTCATTCCTTGAACCATTGGTTTATCCATTGGGTAGTACAGTTTAAAAAAAAAAAAAGCATAATATGCATTTTAAAAATGCACATCTTAAATGTACAGCTCAATGATTATTCATGAACTGAATATATCTACGTACTAGGACACCAGCGCTTCCGCAGGCCCTTGTGTTTCCCTCTAGTCACTAAGATCCCCCAAACCCTAACCATTTTTCTAATATAGATAAGGTTTGGAGCATTAGAATTTTAACATAGGGAAAGATTCTAGTTGTGGTAGGTTTGATGTTGAGTACCAGTGTCTAGGCACTGGGGCAGAAGTACAGAATGGTTGCTATGGCCCAGCCTGCCTGCTAAGTTGCTGAGAGTAACAGCTCTGCAGAGAGTTCAGGAACTTCGGCCCTGAATCTCATTTTGTCTTCACATATCTATAGGAGACTAGCCATGTTTGAGAAGCTACTATTCCTTAAAAGTTCTTAAAATTCCACTTTTCCAAGAGATCTTTTTTTCCTATATTAGGTACATTATTATTTGAAATTCTTTTTAATGCAGTAAAATACAACATTTACCATCTTAAACTTTTTTTTAGTAAGTAAACTCTATCCCCACCCTGAGGCTTGAACTCACAACCCTGAGATCGAGAGTCATATGCTCTACTGTCTGAGCCAGCCAGGCGCCCCAACCATCTTAAACATTTTTAAGTATGCACTTCAGTGGTGTTAAATATATTCACATTGTTGTGTGAATAAACTCCAGAACTTTTTCATCTTGCAAAGCTGAAACTCTATCCTTTAAACATATTGGGAGCACTTATTATTTTTCACATTTTCACATTTTGTTATGGAAAATATCAAACATATTCCAAAGTAGAAAAAGTAGTGTAATGAATCCCCATGTGCCCATCACTTGGCTTCAGTAATTATAAATTTATGGTTAATTATCTTTCGTTTATACTGCTGCATACTCTCCCCACACCATCTTATTTTGAAGCAACTTTCAGATGTCACATCATTTCGTGCCTAAATATTTCAATATGTATAAAGGAAAAGAACTTTAAAAAAGCCATTATTCTTTATTACACCTGAAAAAAATGTAACAATTTTATAATACAAAACATCCTTTTAGTGTTCATACTTCCCTGATTTGATTTCCCTGATTTGTAAATAGTTGTGTGCATTCTTTTTTTTTTAAGTAGGCTCCATGCCCAACATGCAGCTTGAGACCAAGACACATACTGTTACTGACTGAGCCCGCCATGCACCCCTATTGTTTACATTCTTTTTTTTTTTAATTTTTTTTTTTAATGTTTATTTATTTTTTTGAGACAGAGACAGACAGAGCATGAACGGGGGAGGGTCAGAGAGAGGGAGACACAGAATCTGAAACAGGCTCCAGGCTCTGAGCTGTCAGCACAGAGCCCGACGCGGGGCTCGAACTCATGGACTGTGAGATCATGACCTGAGCCGAAGTCGGCCGCTTAACCGACTGAGCCACCCAGGCGCCCCTATTGTTTACATTCTTGATCTTAGATAACGAAATCTTAGAATGTGGCGAGAGGAAGGAAAACAAATAAAAATCTCTTCATGAGATTAGGTTTGCCCCCATCCCTCATGTGTCAACTTTTTTGACTTCTTAAACTTTGGGAGACTTTCCTTAAATTTGTTAGCAAATTTCTGCCAGAAGGAAAAAGATCCTATTTTGGATAACCTACCTATGGTTACTATAGTTCTGATACTAGTAATTTAGAGGTTTATGTAAAGGTCAGTGGAAGCATTGTTGTAGAAACTAATGTGTACCCTTTGGAGGAAAGACTGTTGACATGCCTTTTATTTTTCACTTGCCTCCTTAGGCTAGTAATAGAAGTTCTTCTCGTGAACAGGAGCTGGCCTTTAGGTCTTATGTGCTGGTTGATTCAATCTGCAAAAATCTTCAGACGCTGGCTATGGCAGTGGCTTCTCAGAATGCTGTGTTGTTGGAAGGACCGATAGGATGTGGCAAAACTTCCTTAGTTGAATACTTAGGTGCAATGACGGGTAGAAGGAAGCCCCCTCAGCTTCTTAAAGTCCAGCTTGGAGATCAGACCGACAGTAAGGTAATTAAGAAATGGCAGGTTTTGGTGGATTAGCATGCTTATAAATGTTTGCATTAAAGTATTGTTTTTGCTAAGGGATGTGAGAATAGTCCTTGGTCTTCATAACTGATGGGACCAAGCTGTAAAAACCTCAAGTGCCTGCTTATTTCTGTATAGAAGTTTAACAATTAATCAAAGGTTATAGCAATTGGTATCTCAGATGTGTGGTGTCAGTAATTACTTTTACCTCTTCCTGTAGATGCTGTTGGGAATGTATCGCTGCACAGATGTCCCAGGAGAGTTTGTGTGGCAACCTGGTACCCTGACACAGGCAGCCACAAAGGGACACTGGATCCTTCTGGAGGATATTGACTATGCCCCTTTAGATGTGGTATGTCATCTCACTAATTATTTGCTGATTCTACCTTTGAAGAGCATTTGGTTAATAGTGATTCTGGGAGGTGTTTGATTTGAGATGGTATGTTTTGCAAGAAGCTCATTCATGGTTGCCTACCTAATCTGGTTTGAGGTAGGATTACTTGGCTTGTCTCTTTTTTGATAGAAAATTTATAAAATTCCACTGGTGCTGTTTCATTCAGTAGAGTAGTCCCCCCTTATCTGCTGTTCAGTTACCTGTGGTTACCCACGGTCCTGAAGCAAATGATTCTCCTCCTGTGTCTTCTGAAGGTTAGTAGTAGCCTGACGCTATGTCACAGTGCCTCGGTCATTCACCTCACTGTTACCTAGGCATTTTATCATCTTTCATCTCCACAAGAAGGGTAAGTACAGTACAATAAGATACTTTGAGAAAGAGAGACTCCATTCACATATCTTTTTTATAGTATATTGTTAGAATTATTCTATTTTACTGTTATTGTTGTTAATCTCTTACCTTGCCAGTTTATGTTAAACTTTATCATAGGTATGTTTGTGTAAGAAAAAGTATACTGTAAATAGGGATCTGTATTATGCACAATTTCAAACATCCACCAGGGGTGTTGAAACATACACTGTGTGGATAGGGGGAACTACTATAATCGGATATGTGACCAATTTCACTGTAGTTTTTTCCTCCTTTAGTTAAATTATGTGACTAGTTTCATAACTTTTCCAAGAATAGGCCTTGTGGGAAACATCTTACCAATGTTACAGATACACTGAGAACTTTGAGACCCTACTTCCTAGCTATGGCATCCATAGAGCAGTGGGCTGAGGACAGATGAAGAAGAGATGATGTAACAAGAGTATCTTGTCTTGGTTTCATTAAGGAAAATCTACTGGACGTATATTTTCATTTTTTAAAGATTACTTTTTTTTTGTCAACGTTTTTTTTTTTTTTTGGACAGAGAGAGACAGAGCATGAACGGGGGAGGGGCAGAGAGAGAGGGAGACACAGAATCGGAAACAGGCTCCAGGCTCCGAGCCATCAGCCCAGAGCCTGATGCGGGGCTCGAACTCACGGACCGTGAGATCGTGACCTGGTTGAAGTCGGACGCTTAACCGACTGTGCCACCCAGGCGCCCCTAAAGATTACTTTTCTATGTGTATCAAAATAACTATGCAGGCAGTCCATGTTTCCTCTATATTTTGTAAAGTATGACAAAAATGTATTGCAGAATGAAAAATTCTTCCTTGGGCACATTTTCCTGAGATTGGTTTTAATTTTTTTTTTTTTTT